CTTTCCCTGTCTGTCTCTGGTCAGATTAAAAATAATAATGATAATAAATAAAATAAATAATTTTTTAAAAAGAAATTAAACATTGTAGATATATTTTAAGCATCTCTGTACTCCCTTGGAAGTTACAGTGTACTGATTATGGTAGTTATTTCCCTGCATATCTGTTTTTTTATTATGTATGTAAATATGCATAAGCAGTATTGCTTTCCATTATTTCAAGATTTATATAAAAGATATTAGAGTGTACATGTACATGTTCTTTGTACTTTTCTTCATATATATTTATGTTTTTGAGAATTATACACATTGATGTATATAGCTCTATTTTCACTGTATATACATATCACAATTTATTATTTATTCATTTTCTTTTTGGGGAGACATTTTCATTGTTTCCAGTCTTTTGCTGTTACAAACAATGCTGGCTGTAACATTATTGCACACATCTTGAGCAGGGGACTGTATTAGGAATTATAACTAGATCAGAGAGTATGTACCTTCTTAATTTACTTCAATAGATAGTGTCAAGTTACTCTTCATAGTGAAACTTTTATTTCAAAGTTTGTTTTATTTATTTCTTCCACAAATCAGAGAGACAAACAGCACCCCTATCAGGGTTTAAATGCTATGATGCACCCCACCCCTAGCCAGCCCTAGATCATGGGCATGGACCTACCTAGTGTACTCACAGAGGCCTCTGGACTCAAACTTGGAACCTTCCTATGTAGATCGGCCTTGTAGTGTCAGGTTTTACCTCTGTGCCACCATCCAACCCATATTTTGAAACAGTTTTAAACTTACAGGAGAGTTGCAAAGATAATACAAATAAAAAATATACCCTTCACCCAGAGTCACCAATTAATATTTTTCACATTCACTTTATCTTTTTCTTATATAATTTTTACATGATTTCACATATGTGGATATTTTTCTTTAATCATTTGAGAATTAGTTGCAGACGTCATGCTTCTTTGCCTCTGGATATTTCAGCATGTCTTTCCTAAGAACATGGATATTTTCTAACAGAATAATTTTCAAATTCAGGAAATTTACTGTTCTGTTAGACTTCATGTTTGCCAGCCTGCTGAGTTTTAAGTGATACTTGTTCCTCATTTTTCTTTACTTAGTTTTTTGTTTTGTTTTTATTTATAAGCCAGACGGCACGTGCACTTGCCAGAGAGAGATGGGGCCAGGAAGAGAGAAAAGAAAGCACCCCTGATGGAGCGTGGTCATGCTGCAGTCCTTTCTCCATTTCTTCATTCTGTCGGAATTTGGGGCATGCATGCACACACCCTCAGTGTGTCTTTCAAACTAGTGGGGCTGGGATTTGAACTGTACCGTTGGCCATGTAGGATCCAGCTCCCTTAACCACTATGACATGGGACCACCCCCCATTTTTTTATTATGAACATTTTTGCTTTCACAGGAAAATTGAAAGAATAGTTCAGTAACATCTCTGAGCCCTCTTAGTTTTGATATATATTTTGTTGTATTTATTTTCTCTTTTACATACCCATGCCTTTTTTTATTACTAGAAAATTACAGACATTATAACATTATCCCATTAACACACATCCTTAAACATAAGGATACTTTCCTGTATTAATGCCATAATTAGAGATGATCAATAATTTCCCTGTGTTTCCCATTCAAGTACTAACCAGCCCCAACCCTGCTTAGCTTCCAAAATCAGATGAGATCAGGCATGTTGAGGGTGATACGGCTGGAGATGCACATGTCATCAAATATCTGAACCTTATTCAGATTCTCCAAATTTTTCCAAGAATGTCTTTTATAAATCATTGTGTGTTTGTGTGTGTGCATAGAATCCAGGATAATAGTCCTGCAGGTTGCCCCACATTCTGAATTTGATTATTTCCTCATGGTTTTTTTCACTTGTTCCTCTATGTTGTGATGTAAAATATCAATAGTATATTGTTTTAACTGCGTTTCCCTCTGATCACTGGAGAAATAGAACACCTTTCATTTATTTATTTGCCATTTATGTTTCCTGTTCAGTGGATTCCTTATTCATATTCTTTGTCTTAATGATTTGTAGGAATTTTTAAATATATTCTGAATGTTAATACTTTGTTGGTTGTGTAGTGTATGCATTTCAAACACATAACCCAAATTATTCAGATGCCAAGTTGTCTTTGGACTACACATTGGCAAACTTTCCTGCAGGAGTTCTCATCATAGGATCTTCCTGAATAATCCAAATAGTTTGATCTCATTCTTCAGTATCTTAAATAAATACATGAAAGCTATAATATTGAGTCACAAAAAATATTGATAGACTAAAATGAATCAGAACTGTGGTATACTAATCAGTGCGTACGTACATTCTTGTTGACACTCTTAAGTTACTCTGTCATTCATAATAGTAGGAAGTGTCAGTCCATTTTATTCTTCTGATAAGTGAAGATACTGTGCATTTTTATTTTCTGTTTTAATCCCAAGAGGGCACATTCACTGGACAGAAAGAGAAAAGAGGGAGAAAACATCCCCCCAGTGGATGTAGTCACACTGCAATCCCCTGTCCTCTTTTCTTTCCATCCTGTTGGCATTTTGGGCACACATGCAAATGTTCCTGGTGTGTTTTTTAAGCCACTGGACTGGGAATTGAACTATGGCTGGCCATATGGGATCTGGCTCACCCAATCCGAGGTTATAAAGCCAGACTTATATCGTGGTTAAATAGAAGAATGTTTGTTGGAGTCAAAGATGTAAGTTCATATCCTGACTTTATCCTTTTTCTAAATACACAGCCCTATGCAATTTACTTAGGTATTCATTTTCTACTTCCTCATCTGTTTTAGAGTTACTGTGAAGACACAACAAATAATAAATATGAAAATATTTAGTCAGGCAGTGGCCTGATGGAAAATAGCCCTTATTCTTGGCCACCTCTTCTGGAGAGGTTTGGTTTTGTTTTGTTTTGTTTATTTTGTTTTTGTTTTTGTTTTTTACTATAGGGCACTTAATGCTTGCTGGAAAGACGAAAGCCAGACTTATATCGTGGTTAAATAGAAGAATGTTTGTTGGAGTCAAAGATGTAAGTTCATATCCTGACTTTATCCTTTTTCTAAATACACAGCCCTATGCAATTTACTTAGGTATTCATTTTCTACTTCCTCATCTGTTTTAGAGTTACTGTGAAGACACAACAAATAATAAATATGAAAATATTTAGTCAGGCAGTGGCCTGATGGAAAATAGCCCTTATTCTTGGCCACCTCTTCTGGAGAGGTTTGGTTTTGTTTTGTTTTGTTTATTTTGTTTTTGTTTTTGTTTTTTACTATAGGGCACTTAATGCTTGCTGGAAAGACGGAGAAAGACAGAGAGACAGAAAGTGAGAAATCACCCCCCATGGGGGATGTCCATGCCGCAGTCCCTTCTCTTCCATTCTCCTCTTGGGATCTTGGGCACGCACGCACATGCACCCAGCGTGAGTTTAAGCCACCAGGTCTGGGACTCGAACTGCAGTCTTAGCCACCTTTTTTGTCTTCGTTCTTATGTTTTCAGACTCATTTAAAGCACTACACAGTGGTTACCTTGGAATACAACATGTTGGTAGTTTTCTGACTTTTCTGATTAAATTTAGTCAGAATTCTGTTTTCCAGCTATGCAGGGTATGCACAAGCCTGTGTTATCATCATGTTGCTAATGAAAACTTTCTATGCTGCCCTTAGTGGCTTGCCAGCATTTGGTTTACAATGTTTAAGTTACATATAGTGACTTGCTGATGCTTCAGCAGTACCGTGAATGTTCTGTAGCTAAACACGCTAACTCCTTCTAGGAGCTTGCAGAGCTGGAAAGTGCTCTCCAGGAACAGCACGAAGTGAATGCCTCCTTGCAGCAGACCCAGGGAGATCTCAGTGCCTATGAAGCTGAACTAGAGGCTCAGCTAAAACTGAGGGACGCTGAAGCCAGCCAGCTCAAGGATGAGTTGGACAGATTAACAAGACTTACTCAGGTAAGGAAGAACATAAAGCCACCTAAAAACTAAGTACAGTCAAGCGCTATAAAGCAATGTTTTGGACAGCAATAGACTGTATATGCGACAGTGGTCCCATGTAGCCTAAGTGTGTAAAAGGCTATATATACCATGTAGGTTCATGTAAGTACACTCTGTGATGTCCGCTCAGCCTCGATAATGCCTAACAGTGCATTTCTTGAATGTATCTCTGTTGTTAAGTGATATTTGACTGTACCTTAATGTATTTTCCTCCCTTTGTTTTATATTTAATTCAGTATTAAACACTTTTAATATAATGTGTATGCAGTCATGGGAAAAACACATTTTTGGGAGTCAAGACATTCTGAGTTCAAACCCTAGTCTCATGTGAAAGTGGGCTCTGACCTTCCTGTCTCCTCTGTAAAATGGCATGTGGGGAGGATAAATGACGTAATGGGTGTAAATGCACCTGAAAGTTGGTATTCAATAAGTTATAATGTTTTTCTAATGCAAAGGGGGCAGAGGTAAAAGGGATAGCAGATGAGTGTTCTAGAAAGAGGACAGGGAGAGAGAGCAGAGTCCATTTCAAGTGCTGAGAGTATACCTGCAGGTTGCCAGAGCAAGGA